ATGTCCAGAGGATTGCAATATACAGATATTAAAAGAGTATCCACATTATCCATGCCTAGTACTTGTTCGGTAGTACAAAAATAAGTCACTGTGTTTAAGTAAAGAACAAAATATTACCATTTTAGATAAAAAATATTTTAAATTTAGGCATAAATTAAATTTCGCAGAGGGCAACTCTGACAGCAACTGAGCTTCCCTTAATACAACTAAGCAAATACCTGTCGGAGACAAATTGATGATATAATTTAAAAGATTAAACTTGATGGGATGTTCCACATCTTTATACCTAAAACGACTCAGTCCGCCTAATGGATTTTTACCCAACTTTCAAAAAGCGTTTCCTCTTTTAATTATTATTAATTACTTTTGTGATTATATTACGCAAATACGTAGCTAATTCTAAAGTAATTTTTGTAAGTCTTTTTACAATCAATGGGTCTTATTCCGTTTTGGTCTCATATTTTTTGCAATAATTTAGCCGTTATTGTTTGCGTATAGAGGGAGATTTTATACAAAAGTAGATTGCTTGGTTACCTCTGTCCCATTCGTGTTTCAACCGTGAAGCAGTTGTGTTCGCATGGCTGTGTTTCGGTTTGAAGGGCGGGACATGGCGTGAATTTACTGGGTACAAAGGAATAACACCTGAGTCCTCAGGAATAGCAACGTATGGGGGGTATCATGGGCGAAACAGTATACTCTGATATGTCCATGGTACTGCTCATGTCTATAGGCAACGGTTACCACTTTCCATCAGGTGGGCCGTCAGCTGTTCGCCATTCTAAGTTGTATAAAAAAAAGAAGCGAATTGAAAACTTCCTTCTTTTTAATGTTAGTTGAAAAAATCTCTCTTGAAGTTAAATGCTAGAGAAGAGCTCTACGTTCAGCTGTGGATATTAAATAGCCATTATTAATGACGATAAAATATAGAGTAAAGCAAGAAAATTACTATGGGCGCCACAGAATATTTTGTTCACAATGTTGTTCATATTTATAAACGATGATTAACAATATCCAATCAGGCAGGTCATCAACCCTTTTATCATTTTCAGTCACATAAAAAATAAAGATACAGTGTAATTAACTACATACATACATATGTGCCGCCGTGTGTGCCCCGGCATAGAATGGGCTACCCCTTCCATTCTCGTGGGTGTCGTAAGAGACTAAGGGAGAGCGAGGGATGGGCAGCAACGTCCCTCTTAAAACATCTTTAAAAGCCTAACTACGGTTGCCAATCCGCCCGCCAAGCGTGGCAACTACTGACAAAACTCCTCTTATGGGAAAGGCTTATGTCCAGTAGTGGACAGTTAACGGCTTAAATAAAACGAGACATACATATGACTCACGCCCCTCTCCCATTGGGGTAGGCAGCAACAATGGAATGCTAAATATTTCGATTAAAACATTCACTTCCTTCAAATAAAATTCATCAATCTTTTCATACACGCTCACCGGTTACGAGTTCTTTTAATTTGGCCATTCTTCAGCACGTCGCCTATTTAATCGACATACGTCCGTCTTGGGCGGTCCCTTCTGGCGACACTTCCATTTATTCGTGCACGTGTCATTTCTATTTACTTATGTTTTTAGTTTACTTTGTAACATCCACACAAGTACATAGTAGATATATATCAATATACCTAACAGTTATACTGCGTACACGTGTTGTTTATTTATAGATCACGTCCTCAACTAACATTTAAGAGCGTCGCACACAGTGAAGATGCTATAATGATAAAATATCGCTCACCATATTACATCTATATATTAATACGTGAAGCAAAATCGTTGTACCCCTTTTTACGAAAATTGCACGGACGGAGAAGTAAGAAATTTGGCACACTTATACTTTATTTAAAAAAGGAATGCAGAATACTAATATATTATTTTTTATTATGAAAAAAAAAATACATTAAACCAATAAAAAACATACATTACACACACTACCATATATTTAACACACTCACCCATATATACTCTTTTGTTTAATGTTAAAGTCTGTGGCCATATTGAGAATAGATTAATATTGTTTGTCTTTAATATTATTTGTCTACTTTATTTAAAAAAGGAATGCAGAATACTAATAATTTATTTTTAATTATGAAAAAAAAAAAACATTAAGTCAATAAAAAATACGTTACACACACTACCATATATTTGACACACTCACCCATATATACTCTTTTGTTTATTGTTAAAGTCTGTGGTCATATTGAGAATAGATTAATATTGTTCGTCTTTAATATTATTTGTCTATAGTCTGACTGAATGTCAAATATAATCATAATAAATTCATTTATTACAATATATGTTACGGTCGAATTTCGATCACTGGGCGACCACTAGTATATTATAATTAAATGGACCATCACATACGGCGAAAATAATATTTTTCTCTTACAATATCTTACTGATACCGGGCGATAAAGTAACACAGTGATATGTTACTGTTTATATATTAGTACTTAGTAAATACATAAGACACTAACAGACAGACCTAGTTCACAGACCATTGTGACACACACACGCACACATGCACTTATCTGTATACCTATAAATTTAGGTTTCATTTGATTAGGAAATGGTCGATAATTTGTAAATTTTATTGTTTTTGATGAATTTAGATGATTTTATATTTTATTCGTTTTATTTCGTTCGTTTTTGTTTTGGCTTATACCTAATATTATTAAACTTAGTTTTTGTTTAAGTTACTGTGTGAGTCGCAAGCGTCTATATATATTTTTTTTCTTTCTTTAAATATATAAAAACGGACGATATTTAGAGACTGAAAAGATTTTATATATTCACATATTAGCCGTGTATACGAGTAATACTTTAAAAACATATATACACTATGTATCTATAAGGTGGAATGAAAATCGTTAACGGTAATTAACACTAAGAATCTGCCCAAAATTCTTTCTGAAGTTCTTGAAGAAATTCTTCTACACAAACCACCTGATTCGTAAAAACTAAAACCTTCCACAAATCTAACTACTACACTGTTTTGTCATTTTCTTTCATATTTGGAATTTAGTGCAAAAGAAAAAGACAAAACAGTGCTATTGCTAAAATAGATTTATGAGAGATTTAACGTTTTTATGAATAAGGTAATTCAACAGCTGATCGCGGCATGTTAGTAAAAAGACTGAAAATTCTTTGTGGGTTTTTGACTCACGTCTCTTTGTTAAAAATTTTCGATTACGCTGATAGAACATTCTCTTTAAAAGTTGCTATCAATTTTAATTTCACTGTATACATATAAAATATTTAATTAACGACACGAAATGGCTGCGCATGGTTTTATTGAGAGTACAATGTAACTCACTGATAATATACGAGCAGCTTTCTAAAGGTGAAAGAATTTGTAAAGTCGGTTAAGTATTGATTTTATACATTCCAAAAATAATATTAATCCATTCCTCTTTATAATTTTAGTTTAAACATTTTAATTTTAGATATCATCATCATCATCATCATAATATCAGCCTTCAACTGCCCACTGCTGAACATAAGCTTGCCCCTTTTAGGAATTTTGCCAATAGTTGCTACGCTTAGCAGGCGGACTGGCAACCGCAGTTAGGCTTTGGAGATATTTTAAGAGGGACGATGCTGCCCATCTCTTGCCCTCCCTTAGTCGACTCTTACGATACCCACGGGAAAGGAAGGGGTGGCCTATTCTATGCCGGAACTACACGGACGCAATTTTAGATATGGCAACATAAAATATTATAGCATCTCCCACGTATGTGATGCCCTTTACTTGAATCATATGCATACATGACGAGTAACTAATTAATGGTTATGGAAAACATTAAATAGAAAACTACATTTGTAATTATACGTTGCTACACAGATAATATTCATTTTAAGATTTATTGATAGATTTTATTAATTATATATTTTATCTGTGGATAAACAAGCACGTCAACAGAGATTTAAATCATTATAGAACGTGAATCAAACCGATCATATTTTAAAAAGTTAATTATTTTGAATGAGAAAACTGTAAAGAGGCATACGGCTAATGAAACAAATAACTCAGAAATTTAAAAATGGAATACTATTTTACGTCTCGTTTATGCATATACGTTCAGAAATCATAATTGGCCCCGGTATCCGTGTTTCTACCGTGAAGCAGTTGTGTTTCCGTGGATGTGTTTCGGTTTGAAAGATGGGATACAGCAGTGAATTTACAGGGTACAGAGGTATAACACCCGAGTCCTCAGGAAAGGCAACGCATGGGGGTATCATGGGCGAAACAGCATACTCAATTGTGTCCATGGTACTACTCATATCTATAGGTTACGACTTTCCATCAGGTGGGCCGTCAGCTTGTTGGCCATTCTAAGTTGCTTAAAAAAAATTAAACAAACTTAAATAAATGTACTTTAATCTTCACACTACGTAATTTATTTTAAGGTCGACAAAAAATGCTCCAATGATCCTTTCACAGAATCCATTAATCTTATTTTTCATACACGGTACACCCTCTCTTTCACTATTTAAGACAGAAATTTCAAATATCTTTGCCAATAAACGATATACAGTCGTATTATTATCTAAGTACTGTACTATTACGTGCGTAATATTATGAAAAAAACCAAGGTTCTTTCTTATATACTCCTAGTAGCAGAATAATTTTAATGAATATAGTATTGTAACAAAAAAAAAAAAATACAGGCAATTACAGAATATCGTTTCTAGTTAAAAAAAAAGTTACATTTTGTTTCTCAAAAAAAGCAACAATTATGAACACCCGTGCGTGTACACACATACTGATAAACAGAGGTCTTCCGAAACTAGAATAGAAACATGATAAAAAAATATCAATTCAAAAGAGCTTGTATATAAGCCTTAATTTTGATTGAAGAAAATATATAAAAAAATAAAGTTTTTTGCCGCTGATTTCTATCGCAGAATCTTCGATTTAAAACTTCGATAGAGAACTTTGTATTCTGTCGCAGAAAATGTTCGATTTTTAAATCTTTGTAACTAACCTTAGTACAAAACATGCAGCCGCAGCCGGCGATGACGGTGACCTTGTCGGGGGTCGCGTCTTCCAAACACAGCTTGCAGTTGACCGGCGCTGCTGGTACGAAGCCACCGCCGGCGCCGTCCAGGGAGTATCTGAACCATAACAAATGAGCTGCAGCTATTAAATAAAATCAAACACTTCTATAGTATCAAATAGACCATCTGCTACCTGATGGAGGAGTAGTCTCTGGAATCGATGTGCATATTATGAGACAAGTTATGAAAATGGATAAAACAAAAATATATATAATAAAGGACTTGAGATTCGGTTCTCTTTGTATACCAGGTTTTTTGTTAATATTATAGACTTTATTTATTATTATTATTTCTTTTTAATTAAGACTTTAATTGAACTGAATTTAATTTAATTGCTTCCTATTTGTATAAAATTTTTTTTCGTTTATTTTGGTTTATTTTCTTCTTGTTTTATGCGCTATTGTGTTAGCCGCATGCTTCTTCGATTAAAATATTTCTTTCTTTCTTTTCATTTTTATTTTTAGGATGATTTTAAACTAATTTTGACAATATTTAAAGTAGTTTGACAAATATAATACTTTGCATTATTTAGTCAATAAAAAAGATTAAAAAGACAAAGGAATACATTTAAACGTTTCAATTTTTATTTATTTATTATTATTAATTTACAATGCATTTTATTTATTTCGTTATCAGTATGCTAGAAAGCTGGCTGCTGCACATACCGGCTCGCCTTTCACATATATATTTTTTTTTAATTTCACATAATGTGTATTATATTAAAGCTTATATTTATTTTACTGAAAGTAAAACCTCCAATCATCTTATTTTCACTATTATTTTCCTCATTCCAGACAAAAGTCAAATCATCTAAAATCATAAATCACAGATAAAACATTTTTAATATAGCGAATCAAAGAGGTAAAATAGTCGATCTTTCATGGCGCAATCTACACAGACTTGTCTTATGTGTTGTGTGCGAACATACCTGGGCAAACTTAAAAGTAGTTTTATGTACCTGGAACCACCGGCGCCGGCCAGGGAGAGCAGTGACGAGCATCGGGAGCAGACGGACGGTGCCCGGAGGCGATTGTGGGCCCTTATAGGCTCCGAACTCTTCTCGCGATCAGTCAACGCGAGCACTGTCGAGCACTTTCTGAGGCCTGTCGACAAAAAGATACATTGACCTCAATCATGGATCTCTCTTAATTTTATCCAGCTGTACAGAATAGAAGGGTAATGTTTTTCGGATGTATTATAATTGTAGATATGGTAGAGAGTATATAGTAGAGATATGGAAGATGTAGCATATGGTAAAGGGATAAGAAGCAGCGTCCCTCTTAAAACATCTGTAAAAGCCTAGCTGCGGTTGCCAACCCGGCTGCCAAGGCTGGCAATTACTGACAAAAGTCCCCTTATGGGCAAGGCTAGTTCAGCAGTGGACAGTTAACGGTTAAAATAAAAATAAAATGTAACTAGTATTATGTAAGATTGTCTAGATGTATAATATAACGTATTACTTATAAATGACTTAACGAATCTTAATAAATACAGTGTTGTTACATTTTTTTATATACAACTTAGAATGGCAAACAAGCTGACGGCCCAACTGATGGAAAGTGGTAACCGTCGCCTATAGACATGTGCAGTATCATAACAGAGTATACTGTTACGGCCATGACTCCCCCCATGCGTTGCCATTCCTGAGGACTCAGGTGTTATTCCTCTGTACCCTGTAAATTCACGCCATATCTCACCCTTCAAACCGAAACACAGCCATGCAAACACAACTGCTTCACGATATAAACACGAATAAATTCTTAATTTGTTATAGATTTATATTAATATTATAATAATAATTATAATAGATAGAGAATTATTATAATTGAGTGCTATATGTTTTTCAATATAGATACAAAACAAGTGTTACATCTCTAGTTTCAATTTATATCAATATTAATTTCATTCATTCATTCATTTTAGCCTTTAACTGTCCACTACTGGACATAGGTCTCTCATAACGACTACTGTAAGGAGTGGTCCTGAACCACCTGCATCCACTGACTCTGTAATGCATTTGAGGTCGTCGCTCAATATAGCAAAAGACTGTCGTGCACTGTATTATTAATAAATACTAAACATCAATTTTAAGAAATGGGTTACGTTAATTAACATACTATATATAAACGTATCCTTATTCAATTTATAATATAAATTTTTTGTTATTTTTTGGTATTAAAAAGAATTATATCAACATTAACACAGAATTCTTAAGATACAAATGCACCTAGATAATTTTTTTTAATTTATTTACTGTAAAGTGTATTGAGTCTCCCATACGAGAAATGGGTATTGGCGACCCGCACGCATGCTAAAGTTAAATGAATTAAGGAGTCGCCTGAAAACTAGCACTATATAGGTACATTTCGCTGGAGGTGCAGCAGCTATATAGCAACAACTGAGGCGGCTCCTATTACCAACAAAATGAATTGTTTTTTTTTTCTTTTTTATTGTAGTTATTTTTTTTAATGCATGATTAATGGAATGGTAAAACCGCCTGCGCTAACGGTATACGCTGGCGGAACACCAGTGAGGGATAGGTGAATAATGAAAAAAAAAAAGGTCAGTCAGCCCATCGTGATGAATACACCTGGAACTCAGCACGATGGTTTCCAGGGGGAACCGCGTGGAGGTCGACCTAATAAGGTATATTACTAGCAATGGGACTGGTAGCCCGCATTATTAACGATCCGTTCCCCCCTTTTTTAAATATTATTAGTAGTAATAAAAAAAAACTACATTATCAGCAAATATCATATATAGTATTTTATTAAAAAAAAACCGTGTGAAACTGGGACAGGTATACTTATATATATAATGCTGGCTTGTAAAGGGGAAACCTCTCAAATAAAATTCGATATTAATGGAAACTCGTGCTATGGCCCCGGCGGACCAGCGAGATGGGGTAGGACTTACTTATTCAGCACTGCTAAAAAATTCAGGTAATCTGTGACAACGTCCGCACGCGAGATAAAATAACAATATATACATCTATAAAGTGAAGTCTAAATCATAAACAATTCTACGTCAGTATTCTACCAAAGCAACTGAACATTTTTCCCATTGAATTGTTCAATATGATGCCCACGGCCACTTTCCACCACTGTACGACTCGCCATCGACAAAGAGTTCACCCTCACACCCTACAGCCTAAATGGTCGCGTACAACGCGATTTCAGAGATGTTTTCCCCCACGAATACTCAGGTTATGGAGTGAGCTCCCTGCCGAGGTTTTCTCAAAAGACTACAGCATGGGGTTCTTCAAAGGGGGGTAAAAGGTTTCTTCAGGGTCGGCAATGCGCGCGTAATGCCCCTGGTATTGCAGGCATTCATAGGCTACGGTAAGCGTTTACCATCAGGCCGTATGCTTGTTTGCCACCTTATTGGTATAAAAAAAAAATCCCAAAAAAACAGACTAAAAACGTAAATAAAGAATATATATCAGGCAATCTCTTGCGTATCACACCGCCATTTTCAGACACTCTCTCTCACACATTCCATCTAGCATTAGATTATACAACGAATACTATAAATAAAGAAAAATGTAATGAATAGGCGAGAAAGATAGGTAAGTATTATACTCCTAACATGTATTACATACATATTCATCACGCCTGTTTCCTATCGGGTGTGCCAGAAACAATATAATGCGAAATGCTCCAATTCAGACCTCTTTCACTTCCTTCACATTCATCGTCTATCCATACAAATTCGCCGGTTTCATTATAAATGGTACACTGCTATGCATATATTGTCTTTTCTTTCTAGCTGACGCATTTATATGAAATTCATTTTGTACATCGCAAAAATAGATAAAGATAGATATATAAAATTTGTAAATATATAGGGGACAAAAACAGAGTACTATCGCACTCTTATTATCACCTAAAACAGAATCCTCATCATCATCATAATATCAGCCTTTAACTGTCCACTACTGAATATAAACCACCCCCTTGGAGGGTTTTGCCAGTAGTTGCTACGCTTGGCAGGCGGATTGGTAACCGCAGTTAGGCTGTGTTTTAAGAGGGCCACTGCTGCCCATCCCCCGCTCTCCCTTAATCACCTCTTACGACAAGCACGGAAAAGGAAGGGGTGGCCTATTCTATACCGGGACCACACGGCAAAAGCAGGATAAAGAAACATAAACGAACGGTTTTATAGCTGTGTAGCGATTTTTTCCATACAACTTTATAATAGAGTCCAATATAATAACGCCTTCAGGGCACTGTTGGAACTACCTCGTCGCTGTAGTGCGTCACACATATTTGCACGAGAGCGTAAGGATGATTTTTACGCATTACGGCGCAAACGAATTGTTTCGCTGTTGGGGAGGGTGTGTGTTAGCTCAAACAGTGTCCTGAAGACAATTGCTGATAAAATGGACTGTCCCATCCTAAAATATTGTGTGGGACAGGTTATCAATGCAAGAGCGTTATGACCGCTCATTTACTAACATAGGTTAAATCAATTTATAACTAACAAAATGGGTCTTATGTAGTCTTATTAAATAAATATTATTATTATTATAATTCAAAGAAAAAATTTAATTGACTATACATGCATTTTCCTCTATAATCTATAAAAAGCCTTACCTTCCAATAGTGGTTGCGGCTGCGACAGTACGGAGTCTCTGGAGGCGGCCCTTCGTACTGGCTTGGCAGGTCTCGCCAAGGACTTCAGTCCACCACTGAGGATGAGCTCTAAAGCTCTGCGGCCGCCTGGCCCATTCGCGCCCGCTCCCATCTGGTGGTCAAAACAAATATTATATATTAAATTTATTGTATCGGAATAGAATAAAAAGCATCTTTAATCAAATAAACTTGATTACGAGCTCTTTTAAAAGATTATGTTTTTATGATTCTACTGCTTATATCTATCTTAAGTATCTATATGGTTGTACTATTCAGTCCTAACGTTTGTTTGTCTACGTTTAGTCCTACTATTTACGTATGTAGTATAATTTAAATAGAATAAACAATACGGACAAAATTTAGAAACCAAGTTAATTCATTAATTTTCAACAAACTTTTAAACGAAAATACTCGATCCAACTAAAATTTTGATCCTAACTGAAGTAATTTTTGAAAAAAAAAAATTATTGAAGACTTTTGAAAACACTATCACTATTAGAATCTGTGAATACAATTTTGAAACAAATGAATTGAGATCGAATCAAAGTCAAATTGGATATATTATGTCAAATAAATGGACTTTTGTAGTCTATTCGATGATTCGATTGCATCGAAAATCACTTTGTCGATTATAACAGTGAAAAATATATAATTACAATTATAAGTACGTACTCTTACATACATGGGTAACAATGGATAATATTTTTTGCATGTTATTTCATGTTGATTATAATTTATATCACATATATGTTTGTTTTTGTACAATATGTTGTAGAGATGGACGCAACTCAACTCAACGCAAAAAAAAAAAAAAACGCAACAACAATGCAACTTTTACTAATGCAGTTATTTAAGAACCAAATTGTTTTCTTTTTCTTAATTTTAAATAAATTCTTTATAAAAAAAAAAATCTTTAATAGTATAAATAAATTTAAAGTCAATATATCATGAATACAATTAGCAGTTTATGTAACAGACACTGGCACTATAATAAAGTTCTTAAATAGAAACATGTTTATCAATGTATTATGTCGTTAATAAGTACATGTATAAAAATATAGATAGATATCATCAGATAAAAACAACAGCACCGGAATTCCTTGGCCTTATTCCCAACAAAAAAAAAATGGCTATTTCAGCTCAATATATTTTTTACTTATACCAATTATAGATACTAGAGATACAAGTTGCTGAATTAAATATAATCATATTTCTGCCATATTAAACTGTAGGATCAAAGTTTTTTTTGTATTGTTACTTTTTTTATGGATAAAAATAGAATGACAACTTCGGCTGTGCTATTGGTTTACTTTAGAAAAGTACTAGTGAACGTCCATAGATAGGGATGAAGTCAAATTCACTACGAATTAATCACGATGGTTTCCAGGGGATTATTACTTCCTTTTTTTATACATATAACTTTTTAATACAGACCAAAGAAAGATGCCGGGAAGAGGTAATGATATTACTCGGGACTGAGAATTAGGCTTCAAAAACTGAAGCAGATAATTGGCAACGAGTCAAATAATGTGTATAACTGAGAATTAAAATTATTATATTAATAAATGTGTGTGTGTGTTTTTTTTATACAACTTAGAATGGTAAACAAGTTGACGGCCCACCTGATGGAAAGTGGTAACCGTCGCCTATAGACGTGAGCAGTACCATGGACATAACAGAATATACTGTTTCGCCCATGATACCCCCATGCGTTGCCATTCCTGAGGACTCAGATGTTATTCCTCTGTACCCTGTAAATTCACGCCATATCCCACCCTTCAAACCGAAACACAGCCATGCAAACACAACTGCTTCACGGTAGAAACACGAATGGGACAGAGGTACCCAAGCAATCGACTTTTGTACAAAATCTCCCTCTGGTAATGTGTGTGTAATAAACAGAAGAATTGATACATTTTTTATTACATTACAATATTAATTATTTGGTGTAAATGATATTTTTAACTTCTACGTGCGTACAAAGATCATTATTGATGACAGATAGCAATTGACCCTAATAACGAATGTTATATACAAAACGAACGATTAGATGTAAATATTGCGAGATACACTATTAGTGTTGATATAAAAACATATATTTTTAAATATGACAGAATTATATAAACAAATGGTAAATACAAAGTAAAAATAGTTTGAGACACTATAAATAATTTTATTAGATTATGGGCGTACAGAGGCCTTGTACACTTGCAAATAGTCGATTTAATAATTCGCGGCTATATCTTTATTTTTTATCAAAAAACAGACTTCCCTAAGGGTACTATCATCCAACTTATTTCTGTCATTAAGCAACAATACATTTTTGTAAAACAACAGTGCATAATTTGTTATTTTTGGAATTGAATGGCGAACGGTAAGTTAACCCTTCGATGAATAACTCTTCTCTCAATTGTGGTAATACATGTGTTATTTTATGAGAGAAACAGTATATTCATTGATATTTTTAATATTACAAAATAAATTAAAAATAAAGCATAGAAGATATATAATCAACATAAAAAGAAGATAAGAAACAATAGCCAATGAACAATGGAGACAATGAAAATTGTTACATACTAATTCACATATATATTGTAATACGAATAGATTTGTCCAGAACAATATCAAGTGTATGTACACATTTGCGTCATTCTGTATTAAAATTCTGTTATCGTAGGTGTGTAGGTTGCTGTTTTAGTATGTTGGACAACTGGACAGTACGCGGCCTGCGATCAAAGTACCGAATGTCTAGATCGGCGATTCCCAATAAATGGACTACGGATTACAAAGGGTCTGCTAGAGACAAACATTACACAATCTGGGGGAAAGGATTGTTAGTAATGGAGAGGCTAGTAACCATTGCTATCAATATACCCTATCAGGTCGACCTCCATGCGGTTCCCCCTGAAAACTATCGTGACTTATTTATCGTTGAATTCGTCACGATGGACTAATTGATCTGCCTTTTTATCCTTACCTATCACCTCTCACTGGTACCCCGCCAGTGTATACCAATAACGCAGGCGAGGTTATCATTCCATTATCACCCATTAAAAAAAAAGTTACACGATTAGCAAAAAGGAGTGTTGTTTTCAAGGTTCATGTTATTTATTCTACTATAACTTCAGAATGCCTGCACATATTTGGATATATGATTTGGGTTATCGTTACTATCCTTCCATCGTCCCGAGTGATAATGATTATATCTTATAATAGTTTTTTTAGGGTAATCATGTTTTTTAATGGTGTTGGCTATAGTTTGCCGACCGCAAATTTTCTATATATCTTCACCCAGATGCGATATAGCTATAGCAGAGGACGTGACATGAGTGATGAGAGCACTAAAAGTTTTACAGAGAACATCCACTACTGCCCGATGGCAACGAATAGTTACGACTTGGCAATTTAATAGTTGGAACTTAGGTTTTGGATATCGCATCGCATAACTAACCATACCTACAGCAATAAGCAACTTTTTTACTCGGAAAAAATTCCTAATAAAGACTCGAACACATAAGGGGAGGCCAATATAATAGACTCAGTTGACTTGGATCCAATGAGGATGTATCGATAATTTTTCTTTCCTATTAATCTAATATTAAGAGGATCTAAAATACTAATAGCAAAAACTTCAAGGTGTTCCTCCTCGTACTTATTGCTGGGGATAGCTGGCTTGCGTTAGAAGTCGACAGCCAGTCCTCGACCCTAGCAACGACGGCCCAGTTTAAACCGCGACAGCAATCGACCGCGACCTAAGTGGCCACGGCCACCTTTTAGGGGCACTTCGTCTCTTTGTTTTATTGCTGGTATATTCTCCAGAACAAATATAAGCACAGAGACATACGAACGATTTCCCAGGGTCATGTTCATTTGGGTAAGTCCACTCCAGCGGTTAACAACTCGACCCTTGCATTTAGCTTGGCGAACAGGCGATTGGTGACCATGTGGCGGTTTTTAAAAAAATATTATTGTATTTTATATTCTGTAGTCACAAAGAGTAAAGACACAATTAATATGGTAGTTTTATTTGGTACAGGAACCTGACATTTAAAGTTAGAGCACACAGTTGCAGCATACAAATGACAATTTGTCTTCTAACTGTATGTCTCGCCTTATAACCCGCATATTTATGAGTTATTAGCAGCAAAACTCTATAATAAAAAACACATAGATTTTATTTTTTCGTGAAAGAAAAAGAGAACTTGGTTGGTTTTATATTTTATTACACTGACAATTTATCATAAAATAATTTAAGATTACCCTCCGTAAAAATTCATAATTTCGATATTACTTAGTACCGAGCATGCGATTCACCTGACGGTAAGTGACTACCGTCGGCCATGGTCACCCGTAACACCAGAGGTAATGCAGAGGTGCTGCCGGCCTCTTAAAAAGGTATAAATCTTTAAAGTAATAGAATTTATAAAAGGTATTTAATTATTTTCAGTATCAAAACGACTCGAGCAATCATGAAATTTAACTTACACGTAGTATTTCAAACGGAGAAGGACATTCGCTACATCGAGAAGAACACATTTTTACCCCGGTCAATCAATATATCGGAATATGACGGAAAGTGCCGAGTTCACACGGACTTTGTTACGAGTAAAAACTAATATAAAAACATAAACTCAAACTTTCCCGCCACATACAAGATGAGCAACAGGCGAATCTTCAACTCTAGGGCAAATTTATTACACAAAAGCAATTTACGCAACGCGACATTCCACGAAGAGTGAGATATATTGCGGGCGACGGGCCAAACTGGCCGAACGTTCAGGAAAACAATACTGTAATTGTTGATGTATTATAATAAAATAATTGTCTATTCGTATGAGCGACTTAACGACCGTATTGTTATTTATTATTGGCGAAATCGAAATGGTAAGCGTCCTTTTAAAAAAGTGTTTTATTAGTGAACCTTAATACTTCACCAAAGAAACATGCGTCGAAAATAGACAAAAATGGCAAGAAGACTTACCGTTTTCAACCGACTTCTAAAGAAGGAGATTCTCAGTTCCGTTGCATGTCTTTTTTTGCCTCATAACTCCGTAAGTTGTAAACGAATTTGTAAAGTATTTTATCTGAAAGAACATACTTGCATATTGATTT